CTGGAGGTCCCTGAGGCTGAGCTTGGTGTGTTTGTCCTGAGAGCCTCAGTGTCACCCTTGTGGCTGCACTTGGGGTTGGTGAAGAGAAGCATTGCTGGGCTATGATCAGAGCAGTGAGGAGCTGGGGGCAGTCTTCAGCTTCACCCTGGGTCGAACATTCCTTAGGTCCTGTCTGGAGAGGGGAGAGAAGAGCAGTACAGGTAAAGCAGCAGCCCAGAGGGAACTCCTGTCTCACTGGTGGCAAGTGTTTCAGTTGATGGCAAGTGTTTTCAGTTCTTGCAGCTCCCACAGCCCTGCAGGGTGGCAGCTGGGAGCCAAGTGCTGCACAGTCAGGCAGGCTGAGGAGGAGCTGTGTTCTCAGTCACTGAGGCCTTGTGTGGGCAAAGGATCCAGTTGAAGAGCAAAAGTAAAGAAATTTATTTTCTATAACCAGGGGCAGTGGAGCTGCTGTGAGCCCATGTGGGGCCACGTGGCAACAGCAGGGGCTGCTCACAGCTGCCCCTTAGTCACTGCTCTGGTCCCCTGAGGGGTTGGTTTAATATTCCAAAATTTTGCATATGTGAGAAAGAAGCCCTCACCATGCAACGGGGAATGCTGACTATCCCCATGGCACCTTCCACTCTGGGCTGGATGGGGAGGGATTGTGACCTTTAAAAAGGACACCTGAAGGGTCCTTATGCTACCCTTTTACTATCCAGAGCACTGTGCTTGAGGACCTGGTGAATGGTTTTTGGATTTGCATCCCCAGTCTGAGGTACCCAGAGCTGAAAAACTGGGAGGCTCCACAGTGTGGGAGCCTTGGGGACGTGGCATGCAGTGTCCTCCAGCAAGCCTGGCCTTCTGAGGGGGCTCAACACATCATCCCCTGGACTGGGGTGAAGGAAGTCACTTCTCTGCCCCCATCCCAACACTCAGGATGAGCTGGAGTTTCCTCCTTGAGCAGAACTGCTCTGTCCAGGGCTCACTGCATTTCTCCCCTGGCATGGTGCCTTGCTGATGGGGAATGGGGCTGGGGTGGAAGCAAAGGGAAGGCTCTGTGGAAGGCTCTGTGCAGCCTCAGCATCCTGGTCCAAGCCAGAACTGTGAGCTGTCTCATCAGGAGAGCATCGGGCAGGATGGAGAGGACAGGCCCTGGCCATGGCTCTTCTGCAGTGCTGCTCCTGCACCATCTCCAGCTTTCCCCTGAGTGAGCCAGTCCAGTGGTGCCTGCTGTGCTGGGAAGGAGAGCAAACAAAAACCATCTTGTGGGCTGAAAACAAGAGTTTTCATGTGTTCTGGTGTGTTTCTTGGGTTTGGTTTTTCTCTTCCTTACCACCCTGCTGAGTGGCTTGGGGTTTTTGGGGTGACCCCATGCTGGGAGGACACAGGTCTGTGGTGGTTGAGGCTGGCTGGGCTGTCCCCAAACCGTGGTGGACACAGTCGCTGGTGCTTGTTGGGCTTCTGCTCCATGGTTTCATGGGCTGTTCCAAGCAGGAACATCCTCTGCTCCCATCCTTGCTTGGCTCGAGGCCGCCTCAATGCCTCGGATTTTGTCTTGCATCTTCAGTTTAGGGCTCTTTTCCTTCTTGGTGTGCAGCAGGACAGGCCAGGGCAGGCCCAGGGACGTGTTGCTGGCCTTGCCACTCGCAGTGAGGGGATGTAGGTTCGAGGTGAGGGACAATCAACCTCTCCTCAGCTCTCGTGTGGCACACGGGCTTGCAGAGCCAGGGAGGATCGAGGGGACATGGGGCCCAGCTGGGTGAGCAGGGGCTGGAGCTCCCAGCATATGTCTGACCATGGTCTGAGCACAGCAACTGGCTTAATAAAATACCAGATGTTTGTACTTTGTGTCCTGTGGTCATTCCCAGCCCATCCCACCTTTCCTGTGCAGCCTGGGGGCTGAGTGCATTTTCCATCTGTAAATCCACCCCTGTATGCTTTGCTGACCAGACTTTGCAGTAAAGAAGTGCAGGTGGGTCCTTCCTTAGCCCTGTGCTGGGAGTAGCATTTCCCTTTCTGCCTCTGTGATTTGGGATGACTTCATCCTCTTGGTAGGACTCTGACCCTGCACGAGGACCTGGCCCAGCTCACTTTTAACGGGGGAAAGGGGGTGGACAAGCAGAAGACAAGCAGGAGACAGAGAAGTGTAAATTTTTAAAATGTGTGATTTTCCAGTATCCCTTCAAGGTACTGGGAGAAGAGTGGGCTGGGGGCTTCAGGCTGGAGATTGGGCTGTGTGAGGGTCCCACCATGCCCTGGTGCCACGGGTAGCTGGGGGGCAGGGAGAGAAAAATAGATCAGTATTCCTGACCTGAATTGATTGCTGTCAGAGCTCCCTGATCTGCTTGCCCTGGTGGGAGCACCAAGCTGGGCACTGCCATAAATTCTCCCTCCCTCTTGGGTTCTTTGGATGGGCAGAGGGGGAGTTAAAAGGTGAATCCAGCTGCAGTCCCCAGAAGGGAAACGGGCTGGGGGTGAGGCTGCCCTGGCAGAAAGGGACTATCACTGCTGGCTCCATCCCCTTGAGCAGGGCTGGGAATGCTTTTTCCTGCTTGAAAGGGCCGTGCCAAGGGGCTGCCCACCCCATAACGAACCCTGAACCCCCATCACGGGTCTGTGCAGGATGGTGTTGCCTTGGGGGGTCCATGAGTAGGGGTTTGTCCCACAGTCCTTGCATGGGAACAGACTGAGGTGAAACAAGCAGGAAAAGGCCACAACTCTGGTCAGCTCCTGGTCCTGCTCGTGGCAGAGCTGAATCCTCCAGGGCCCCCAGGAGCTGCTGTCTCTCCAGCCTGTTTCTCAGTGCCTGTTCCCCTCCTTTTCTGTGCAGACATCATTCCCCTGCCTTGAACATCTCCTTGCCTGGGTTTGCTGTGCCTTGTGGGGGATCTTGGAGAGACTGCTCAGCAGCAGGGTCTGCATCCCAGTGTGGAGACCCCAAACCCTCCCTTTGTCCTCCTGCCAACACCCCTGGGGACAAGTGACTCCCCTTGGCTGGGAAGCAGCAGAGCCCTGGTGAGGAGCAGCGTGCACATCAGGCTCTTTGGGACTGACATACTCCCAGTCCACCCTAAGTTTCCCCACCCACCACAATCCCAAAGCAGCTCTCGGGGTGCCCTGCTCCCCCCGGGGGTGTCCCCTGCTGTCCCCACAGATCTTCTGGGACGATGGGATCATGTTGGGGTACTGCACCCCCAGAGCTCAGCCCTTGGCTGTGTCCTCAGCTCCTTCCAGATGATGAATGAGACAGGCCTGGACACAATTCCTGCTGAGCAGGTGGGGATGGGGACAAGGATGGGGACGGGAATGGGAATGGTGATGGGAACAGGGGCGAGGATGGGAGTGATGAAACGATGGGATGGGAATGGGGGCAGGGGTGGGGAGGAGAAGAGGATGGAGATGGGGACAAAGAAAGGCTGGCAATGGGAATAGGGATGGGATTAGGGACAGGGCCTGGGACAGAGGCAGGGATAGGGATGAGGAGGGGATGGAGACAAGGATGGGGATAGGGACAGGGACAGAGCTCACCTTCGGAACACACTGTGCCAGCGGGAATTCATGTGGTGCTGCCTGGTGCTCTGATCCTCCCTGGGGATCTGCTGGCCCCACCTGCCTGCTGCTGGGCTGCCCCTGCCATCTGTGCCAGCTGTGCCCACCTCTTCAGCCCTCCACATCTGCTGCATCTGTGACTGCAGAGCCATCAGCTGCTGCAGCTCGGGAGGGGCTGGGCTGGCACGGGGAGCTGCAGGCCCCTGGCACCGTGTCTGGCTGAGATGCCAGACTCCTGGTCAGCCACATCTGGCACTGCTGCTTTGTCCCTGTGGCTGTTTTGAACTCCTTCATCTGCTCTGGCCTCTCTTGCTATTCCCAGTAGGTTTGGGATGAGGAAACTGGTGGTGGAAGCTTTCTCCTTCTCAGCTTTTTGTTCCTGTTGGTGATTCCCGCTGCTCAGGCCGAAAGCCAAGGTTTTTGTGGGGTCCTTGCTGTGGAAGCTGACAGGAGTCTGTGCCCCCCACCCGTTCCCCCTTCACAACTTCCCCAAGCTGGAGCATCCCCAAGCTGGAGCATCCCCAGTGGCCCAGGGCAGGGGTCAGTGCCCCCACCCCGGTCCTGGGGTGCTCCGGGGGGCTCCCTCTGGTTCTCACCCTCCTCCTGCAGCTCCTCTGCTGCTGTGACTGTGCCTAGAGGGCAGCTGAGGTCACCTACTGCCACCTCCTCCCCTCTGCGCTGCTCAGCAGCTTCTTCTTCACATCCTCCTGTGCTGCTGTGGCTGCACCATGAGCAGCCCCCAGTGCCCCCCCAGTGCCACCACTCTGTCCCCAAGCTACAAGGGGCTGTCCAAGGAGCCCCAGCAGCCACAGCCATCAGCTTTTCCACATCTCTTCTGTGCTGGGCACCCCCTTGTAGCTCGGGGACATCCTCTGGGATGTGTGCCCATGCCAGGCTTGGCTGTGGGGCCACCTGAGCCCCAGCAAGATCCCGAGCACCTTCTGCAGTGCCAGGCTGGCCCCTGTGGGCAGTGCTGCCATCACCAGTGCCTTGACCCGTGGCTCTGGCAGCTCTTCCAGGGCAAGCCAGTGCTGATTCCATGAATCTGGGGCAGGGATAATGTGCCATCCTCCGTGGGGACACGGCAGTGTGAGCCTGCATGTGTGTGTCAGGGTTAATGAGGAATTAAGGTGGTTTTTGATGAAATTCCCAGGCAGGCCACAGGGGCCCGGGGTGCACAGAGCAGCTCTGCTGCTCCCCAGTAACAGCAGGGTCGAAAGAGCTTTAAATTAAAGTGGAATAATGATGGTGCAGCTCTGGGCTGCTCACTGCTGGGAGCAGGAGCTGGGGGTGGTAGCACCACCTCGGAGGGGTACGGGGGGGGAAACCTGGAGTCCTCAGCTGTGTGGGGTGGGGTGACAGGGAGCATATCCCCTCAGTGGGGTGGGGTGACCCCCTGAGTGGGGTGACTGACAGGGGGCACATCCCCTGAAGCCTCCCACCCACCCACCCAAGCTTGGGAAGGAACTGGCTCGACCATTTGCATTTATTCCTTTCCAGGGCTGACAGAAAGGGTGAGAGGGTGTCCAGGGGGGGTCTGGGGGAGCTCAGCCCCCGCCCCAGAGCAGGGCTGGCCTACACGAGGCCATAGTAGCGCCGATAGGCCTCCTGGAGCCCGATCTGGTCAGCCAGCTCGTCACAGTCGGGGTTGAGCTCGCACACCTCCCGCTTGGCCTCGAGGGGGTCCCACGGGGCTCCAGAGACGCTGCTGGGGACAAAGGGGCACCCAGGGGTCCCAGGGGGTCCCATGGGAGCCGGGGGCTCCTGGGCTGAGCCAGCAGGGCTCCCCCATGTGGGGCTGTCACCCCGCAGATCCCTCACCTGCCAGAGCCGGAATTGCGCTTCTGTCGCTGCACCAGCTCAGCGCTGGCACGTCTGGACACGAAGGCTGCAGGGACAGGGAGGTGGCTCAGGGGGGCTGTGTCCCCTGTCCCCAGGGCTGTGTCCCCTGTCCCCAGGGTGGGTCAGGGGGGCCGTGTCCCCTGTTCCCAGGGCGGTGGCTCAGGGCCCTGTCCCCTGTCCCCAGGGCGGTGGGTCAGGGGGGCCGTGTCCCCTGTCCCCAGGGCAGTGGGTGAGGGCCATGTCCCCTGTCCCCAGGGTGGTGGCTCAGGGGGGCTGTGTCCCCTATCCCCAGGGCAGTGGCTCAGGGCTGTGTCCCCTGTCCCCAGGGTGGTGGCTCAGGGCCATGTCCCCTGTCCCCAGGGTGGTGTCCCCTGTCCCCAGGGTGGTGGCTCAGGGCTGTGTCCCCTGTCCCCAGGGTGGCTCAGGGCAGTGTCCCCTGTCCCCAGGGCGGTGTCCCCTGTCCCCAGGGTGGTGGTTCAGGGGGGCTGTGTCCCCTGTCCCCAGGGTGGCTCAGGGCCGTGTCCCCTGTCCCCAGGGCGGTGGGTCAGGGCTGTGTCCCCTGTCCCCAGGGCAGTGTCCCCTGTCCCCAGGGCAGTGGCTCAGGGCTGTGTCCCCTGTCCCCAGGGCCCTGTCCCCTGTCCCCAGGGCGGTGGCTCAGGGCCATGTCCCCTGTCCCCAGGGCAGTATCCCCTGTCCCCAGGGTGGTGGCTCAGGGGGGCCATGTCCCCTGTCCCCAGGGTGGTGGCTCAGGGGGGCTGTGTCCCCTGTCCCCAGGGCAGTGTCCCCTGTCCCCAGGGTGGTGGCTCAGGGCTGTGTCCCCTGTCCCCAGGGCGGTGTCCCCTGTCCCCAGAGCGGTGGCTCAGGGGGGCTGTGTCCCCTGTCCCCATGGTGGTGGCTCAGGGGGGCTGTGTCCCCTGTCCCCAGGGCGGTGGCTCAGGGCAGTGTCCCCTGTCCCCAGGGTGGTGGCTCAGGGCCATGTCCCCTGTCCCCAGGGCGGTGGCTCAGGGGGGCTGTGTCCCCTGTCCCCAGGGTGGCTCAGGGCCATATCCCATGTCCCCAGGGCCGTGTCCCCTGTCCCCAGGGCAGTGGCTCAGGCAGCCGTGGTCACTCACCTTCAGAGCTGGGTGAGTCCTGGGTGCTGGCAGAGCCATCAGCAGCTGTGAGTGACACGGGGGGGGGAAGGTGGGCTCGGAAGGGCCCCGTGTGGGCTCTGCCCTCACCCCGCTCCTTTTGGAGCTCACATCCCTCACTGACACCCCCCAATCCCCATCTCCCCATTGCAGCCCCTCAGCCCAAAGCTCAGCAGAGTTTTCCCAGTCCTTTTGCTCCCTGCAGAGCCCGTCCCAGGGCACAGAACCACCCCAGTGTCCCCACCAGCCCCGGATTCCCCCATACCTCTGCGGCAGAGGCCAAGGGTGAGCAGGGCCAAGAGGGCCAGCAGGACGAGGGACCTCATGGTGCCTTCCTGTGCTGAGCTGAGTGCAGCCCTGCCTCCCTGGGTGTCTTTATAGGGTCCCGTGGCCTTGGCAGAGGCGAGCACGGCCTCACCAGGGTTATTTCCAGCACATCCGCCACGGCCGGAGCTGCTGGCAGAGGTGGCAATTGTGGTTTGGGATGAACTTGGTCCCCCTGTGCCCAGCCAGAGCCCACAAAGGGAGGGGAAAGTGGCCCCAGGCCAGGGGGGATTTGCTGGTGGGCCCAGCCCTGCCAGCCTGGCAGCGCCCAGTCCCCACTGGAATGGGTGATGGGGCACTGGGGGCTCCTCGTGTGCTCCCCAGTCACCACTGCCCTGACCCGGCTCCAGTGCTGATCCCAGAATCATCTGTGACACAGGAAGACTTTCCTGCCAAACCCCGCGGGGTTCTCCTCCGTGTGCAGGGCCAGAGGGAATTGCTGGCCCACTTCTGGGGACCAGCAGGTGCTTCCTTGGGGCACTGTCACCGTGTCCCTGGGGACAGTGAGCTGTGCCTGGGTCCCCACACAGCTCCTCCCTGCCACGGGGCAGTCGGAGCCCCTGAGGAACATTCCTCTTTTGATCCCAATCCCAGCCCTGTCTCGAAAAGCGGAACTGGAGGCTTTGGGGCAGAGGGTGGACAGAACTGCTGAACCAGAGCCTTTGTCAGACAAACCCATAAGTACAGAGCATGTGAGCCAAGAACACAGCGGGAGCCAAGCTGGAACAACAGCCCCAATTTATTGAGATTCCAGCAGAGCGGGGGGAGGCAGAGGGGAACTGCTGCAGCCACTGTGCAGCTCCAATTGCTTACAGAGGATGGGGCACGAGTGGCCACTGCCCCTCCAGAGTGTGTCCCAGCACAGGGCCTCTCCTTCGGGTACAGACCAGGGCGCCAGCAGCCCGGACTCAGCCCAGGGAACCTTCCTCACGCCCTGCCCAGCCCCATGAACAGCCCCATGAACAGCCTGTCCACGCTGCAGGCACACGTCACTGGTGGGGCTCAGCCAGGGATGTCCTGGGAGCCTTTGCTTCCCCAGTCCACAAACAGACGAGGCAGCAACAAACAACTCTGGGTGGGGAAAACCAGTCTGGCTCTAGAAAAACATTAAAACCCTGTGCTACAAACCCACAAAGCAGAGGCAGGGCCGTTCCAAGCTCTGCACAGATCCCCAGATACCTCAGGCTGCTGGGAGGGGACCAAGGCTAGAAAACAACTTGGAGAACAGGATGAATGGGAACGAGAACTTGGTGCAGCAGCTGCTGCCACATCTGCAACAGGCAGGGTCTGAACACAGGGAGACTGAATGAACCTGCAAGCACAGGCAGGAGTGTTGGCTGTGACCCACTCGTGCTCCTTATGGGCTCCTCAGACCTGGGCACAGCCTGGCTTAAGGCACTGAATTTTGTCTAATGAACAGCTGAAACAGCTACAAAACCCCAAATGTGGCTTTGGGAACTGAAATCAGGCCTGTCACAGCACTGAGTGGAGCAGATGAGAGCACAGACACACTTTGTGACATTCCACTGTTTAGCTAAGTAGGAAATAAGGAATTGCCATCTATTTCCAAAGATCTCAATGGTTTTTTGTTTCTGCACCAAATCTGATCAAACCGTGCCAGTCCAGCAGCTGTTTCAGTCCCTCTGCATCTCCAGTGGCCTGATGGGGTAATTCTCAGTTTGGGTTCTGCACACACCTTGTCCCATCAGTGCTTTGGGACACTGAATTGTCTCAGCAGAGCCTGTGGGACATCTGTGGCCTCACTGGGGCTCCTGGAATGTCATGATGAGTTCTCGTTGCTCCTTACTGCTTGCCTGGAAGGAACACAACCCACAGACCTCACCATGATGCTTCTCCCCTCTACCACACTCAGGGCTGAATGTGAGCTGAGCATGTCACACACTGCTGTCCCCTGGGACCATTCCACATCCCACCCACAGCACAGGGAAAAGCACCCGAGACCTCCAGAGACAGTGTCCACACCTAAAGTTTCAGCAGGACTTGGCTGGGGAGGTGCTGGAGAAGTGGAGGGTTTGGAAATCATTGCAGGCCCCACTGAGCCCCGCTGCAGTGGGTGCTGTGAGGTTGGTTTGGTTTGGGTTGGTTTGGTTTGGATTGGTTTCTTGTGGGTTGAGTTGGTTTTGGTTTGGTTTTATTTGAGTTGGGTTGGTTCTGGTCTGGTCTGGTCTGGTTTGGTTTGGTTTGATTTGGGTTGGTTTGGTTTGGGCTGGGTTGATTTGGGTGGATCGGTTTGGTTTGGTATGATTTGGATTGGTTTGGTTTGGGCTGGGTTGGGTTGATTTGGGTTGGGTCAATTCGGTTCACGTTGGGTTGGTTTGGGTTAGGCTGGGCTGGTTTGGGTTTGGTTTGATTTGGGCTGGGCTGGTTTGGTTTGGGTGGATTGATTTGATTTGATTTGATTTGGGTTGGGTCAGTTTGGTTCAGTTCGGGTTGGGTTGGTTTGGTTTGGGATGATTTGGGTCAGTTCGGGATGGTTTGATTTTAGTTGGGATGGTTTGGTTTGGGTTGGGTCAGTTTGGTTTGGGTCAGTTTGGTTTGGGTTGGTTTGGTTTGGGATGGTTTGGTTTGGGTTGGGTTGGGTCAGTTTGGTTTGGGTTGGTTGGGGTTGGGTTGGGATGATTTGGGTTGGGTCAGTTTGGTTTGGGTTGGTTCAGTTTGGGTTGGGATGATTTGGGTTGGGTCAGTTTGGTTTGGGATGGTTCGGTTTGGGTTGGGATGATTTGGGTTGGGTCAGTTTGGTTTGGGTTGGTTTGGGTTGGGATGATTTGGGTTGGTTCGGTTTGGGTTGGGATGATTTGGGTTGGGTCAGTTTGGTTTGGGTTGGGATGGTTTGGGTTGGGATGATTTGGGTTGGATCAGTTTGGTTTGGGATGGTTTGGTTTGGGTTGGTTGTTTGGGTTGGGTCAGTTTGGTTTGGGTTGGTTCGGTTTGGGATGGTTTGGGTTGGGATGATTTGGGTTGGGTCAGTTTGGTTTGGGTTGGGATGGTTCGGTTTGGGTTGGGTCAGTTTGGTTTGGGTCGGTTCGGTTTGGGTTGGTTTGATTTTGGTTAGGATGGTTTGGTTTGGGTTGGATGATTTGGGTTGGGTCAGTTGGGGTTGGTTTGGGCTGGGATGATTTGGATTGGGTCAGTTGGGGTTGGTTTGGGCTGGGATGATTTGGATTGGGTCAGTTGGGGTTGGTTTGGGCTGGGATGATTTGGGTTGGGTCAGTTGGGGTTGGTTTGGGCTGGGATGATTTGGGTTGGGTCATTGGGGTTGGTTTGGGTTGGGCTGGCTCGTTCCAATCTGTTTTTACCTGCCAGGCCTGTTGGCGAGCCTGGATCAGCTGCTGCAGCTCTGCAATCCTGTCCCTGCCCGCCAGCACGGCCTCCGCTGCCGCGCTGCTGCGCTGCTCCCTGTCACGCAGCGCCCTGCGCAGGTGGGCGCGGTGCTGCAGCAGGTAGGGCAGCAGGTCGCTGCGCACGTCCTGCTCCGGGATCCCGCTGGGCCGCCTGGGCACGCGGCAGCAGCAGAGCAGGGAGCAGAAATCAGAGATCAGAGATCAGGGATCAGAGATCAGAGATCCCACCCAGCACGGGCCCACCCTGCTGGGATCACCCTGGGGCTCCCACAGCCTCCTCTGCACAGGGAACTGAACACGGAGCTCCTCCCCGAGCCTGACCCCACACGGGTACTTGGAACAGGCAGGATGTCATTCACCCCCCAGCACGGAACACAGAATCCTCTGCTTCTGGTCACAGTCCCCAGTCTGCCTCCCAGGTGGCTCAACTGTCTGCTGAGGCCCCGAGGCAGGGACACAGAGCTCTGCTGTTGGACGGGTGCTGTGCCCAAAACACCCCATCAGCCCTTTGGATCACCCCCCCATCCCAGTGGCACTGACCTCCCTGCACTAAGGAAGTGAATGGAAATGGATCCTGTGCCCAGAGAAGCACAGGTTAAACTGATTTTTGTGTGTTTAGGCCCAGTGACATTGCTGTAAAGACACAGCAGCTTTCAGACCCTCCCTTGTAGCATGAGGCCAACAGGACACCCAACATCCCCCAGGAACTGCCTGTTCCCTTGTAGGAACATGACCCCCACCCCTGGCCATCCATACCACGCTGGCTCTTCCCGGTCCTTCGCCTCCTCCACGATCTTATCCAGGGAACTGAAGAGCTCCTCCAGATTCCCTTCATTTTTCACCTCCTGGATCTCCTCCTGTGAAGGAAAGACACACGGTGAACAAACACAGACACCACTCTGCTTGTGAGCCTTTGCTGGTCATGGAACCAGGGAATTATCTGGGTTCAAAGGGACCTTAAAGCGCATCTCGTTCCGCCTTCCACTAGACAACGTTGCTCCAAGCCCTGTCCAACCTGGATTTAAATTCTTTCAGGGATCCAGGGGCAGCCACAGCTTCTCTGGGCACCTGTGTCAGGGCCTCAGCACCCTCACAGGGAAGAATTCCTTCCCAATATCCCACCCAACCCTGCCCTCTGGCAGGAGGAAGCCATTCCCCCTTGTCAGTCCATCCCTTATCCAAATTCCTTCCACTTTGTCCTGGGAGAAGAGCCCTCACCCTGGGAATCGCCATTCCTGAGGGTATTTAACACATGTGTGGATGTGGCACTTAGGGACACGGTCTAGTGCTGGGGAAATGCTTGGACTCGATAGTCCCAGTGGTGTTTTACCAACCTGAACGATCCTACAGCATTTTCTGGGAAAGACAAAACTCTGGAGAGCAGCCTCAGCTTTCTGCTTTTGCCATTTAGGAAATGCATTTGCTGCCCTTAATATCAAACCGTTCAGCACTTTTTCCCGCGGCTTTGAACCCCTTTTAGACACTCAAACCCCTCCGCAGCCCCCCCGGTCGCTCCCCCGTTCACCTTCACGCACGCCTGTAGCTGGGAGATGAACTGATCGTAGATGCTCCGGGTCAGCTGCGGCTGCAGTTTGTAGACGCAGCGGTAGCAGCTGACAAACCTCTGGTAGCTGCAAGGAGGGGCAGGATCGGGACGGGCCCACGGGGCTGTTCCGGTGGCCGCGGGGTCACGGCACGGTTGGGACCGGGCTCGGGGGTTCCTCCCCGCCTCACCTCGCGGCGGTCACCAGCTTCTGCAGGAACGTGTCCACCACGGTGCTGAACACCTGGGCGCGCCCCGGGGCCGCCGCCGGGGCCGGGCCGCCCCCGCCATCGGCCCCGCCGTCCTCCGTGCCGCCGCCATCGGTCCCGCCGCCACCGCCGCCCGCCGCCGCCATGGCCGCGGCTCGAGGCCCCGCCCCCGGCGGCCGCCGGCGCGGGAAAGGAGCGCGGGAAAGAGCGCGGGAAGGGAGCGCGGAAGGGAGCGCGGGAAGAACGCGCGGGAAAGGAGCGCGGGAAGGGAAGGGAGCGCGGGAAGGGAAGGGAGCGCGGGAAAGGAAGGGAGCGCGGGAAGAGAAGAGAGCGCGGGAAGGGAAAGGAGCGCGGGAAGAACGCGCGGGAAAGGAGCGCGGGAGGGGAGCGCGGGAAGGGAAAGGAGCGCGGGAAGAACGCGCGGGAAGAACGCGCGGGAAGGGAAGGGAAGGGAAGGGAAGGGAAGGGAAGGGAAGGGAAGGGAAGGGAAGGGAAGGGAAGGGAAGGGAAGGGAAGGGAAGGGAAGGGAAGGGAAGGGAAGGGAAGGGAAGGGAGCGCGGGAAGAACGCGCGGGAAAGGAGCGCGGGAAGGGAAGGGAGCGCGGGAAGAACGCGCCGCAAGAGAAGAGAGCGCGGGAAGGGAGCGCGGGAAGGGAGCGCGGGAAGGGAAGGGAGCGCGGGAAAGGAAGAGAGCGCGGGAAGGCAGCGAGGGAAGAACGCGCGGGAAGGGAGCGCGGGAAGCGTTTGTGCCGCTCGGCGGGGCCGCCCCGCCCGGCGCTCCCGGTCCGAACCGAACCGAACCGTGACAAAAACCCGCCCCGAAGCGAAGCAGCGTGACTGTGAAAAATACGTCTTTTATGATTTGGCTTTTCGCAAATGTTACAATGAATATTATATGTGTGAAGTTAGAAAGTTATGCTGTATTAATTCTCTTAAGTAGTGTCTTAAACAGAGCTTTAGGTTCCAACATAATGTTAAAATAGAAACTCTGCTATGTGAAGGGTTTTTAAAGAAATGAGATACTTGCTTCCAGTAATACCTAAATCTTCCAGAAAACAGGAATTTACAGTTTTCTTATCAGAAGAAGCGAATTTCCTCAGGCCTTGCTCAGACTCAAAGACGCCATGGAAATGAAAGGAAGCAGTTGACATACAAGAAACAGAGTTGTTTTAAATAGAATGTATGCATAATCATGAAGGATATATGAATATGCAACAGGCTATTGCTTTTAAGGTTATTCCTTTGTTCACAAAGTATGCTTTTCGTGACTTAGTGTCCGAGAGCATCCAGACGTCCATGATTCTTCACTTTTTATTATCTTATAATTATCCTAACTTTAAATTTTATTACTCTAATTATATTACTATTTTTATAATAAATTTATTATTAAACTTTTAAAAATTTAAAAAATCAAATAATTAACGTTTTTCACAGTGACAAAGCGTCCTTCCCTCCCTGGAAATGGCCGCCCTGCCCCCCAGCGGCTTTTAGTGAAACAAAACGATCGAGCCTGAAGAATTCAAGGAGAAAAGAAGCAGCAAAGTTAGAGATTAAGAGCTAAGGGTGAAACCCTTTCTGTGACACGACAAAAAGCAGCGGCCTCCCCTGGTGTGGAGGCTCATGTGCTTTGAAATGCAGGCACCAAACGGAAGGTCTCTCACGTTTATTAGTTGTCAAGGAACGTTGCTGGTTACGAGAGGAACATTAAGTTTGACAGTGTCTCCCCACACCGGTGCTTCTGCCCCTCTGTTCTGCACACTGGGACTGGCCCTGCTGCACCTGGCAGAGGCTGATCGTTATTGTTCCTGTTGATATTGGTGTTAACATCCTGCTGCCTTGTGATTTGGGGTTCTGTTGTTCTGCTTTTCAGAGCAAAATCTATTATTAGAGTGAGAGCAGACTGGTGTCAACTTTTAATCAACAAACACGAAGCAGAGCAGGTGCAGAAGGTGCTGATCCAACAATTCCACCAGTGGCTCCAGCATCCAGTGCCTTTTTTCTGAGCACTGCAGGAAACAAAAATGGGATGAAGAGGGCTCTGACGACTCACCCACAGCCCCATCACAGCATTGCCCCTTAGAATCAAGCTCTGCCCTTAGCAGAGAAGCCTCTCCCTCCTCAGCAGCAGCTTCAGCACCCTCCATCTCCAGCAGGCACGGTGGCATGTCCAGTGCCTGCTGGGCAGGGACGAAGAGCAGAGCCACACTTGGTGAGTCCCCTCGGGAAGAGACAGCCAAGTGGAGCCCAGCAACAGCCACAGGTCAGCAGGATCAACACCTCAACCAAAATTCCTGGTTATGGCAGAAGGGGAATGGGGTGGTGCACTCTGTTGTGTGGAGGTGCACCCCAAACCCCCCCCAAGATGAGCACCACGTGTGGGCTGGCAGCATGAAAGGCAAATCTCAACCACCAAGAGCAGCAGAGTGCAGTCAAACAATCCCCTCCCTCCCCTCCCCTCCCCAAAAAGCAGCCTCTGGTTTCATCCCCCTGAAGTTTTCACCTGGTAAAATACACAGAGCATAGCTCAGGCTTCTGATCCAGCAATTGTGCAAAACATTATCCTTGCCCTTCCCAAACTGGATGAGCAGAATTTAAACTCATTAAGTGAACCACCACTTCTTATTCAATATAAGCATGCCTGTCAGGTTTGAACCGGATCAAAAGCCAGCACAAGGCTTTTCCTTCCTCACGTCCCATCTAATTATAGCTCAAAGCCCATTGAGTTCTCATCCAGCTGCTGGCAGCACCACGATCAAACACTTCTAAACTGCATTTCTGGGCTTAAACTAGCTAAGGTGGGAAGTGGCCACAGCCACTCTGAACATGCAGGATTGACACACTGAACAAGGCCACAGGACAACCATTCAGTTCTCCAGAAATCAGAATAAGCTTCCCTAAAATAAAAAAAAAAATAAATTACAACAGATTAAAAACACAAGTTAGGTGTCAAAACCGCCATCAGCTAATTCCAAACAGCCAGCTCAACTCCCGACTTGCTATCAGCCACTTGCTGTTTGGAGGATGAGAGATGGGGAACATTTTCCAAGAATATACAAAACAAGTATGTAGATCTACTCAAAACGCAGGAAATCAGGTCTGAAGTGATTCCAGGTTACTCTTGTCTCACATCTTCTAGAAATAAAAGCAGGTAATTGGAGAAAGTCACTTGTCTATTTTCTGCTTCCAGCTTCCCACAGCACAACTGCCACTGGAGACATCCCAGCAGAGGGTCCTGCTGCAGGCTGTGAGTCTCCTTGGGAGTTTGGCAAAGATGAAAATAATTTAAAGACAATAAATTGGCTTTTTGCTTAAGCCAGTAAGTCTTTAATTTAAAAAAAAAGGAATTAATAACTTGCCAGGATGCATTCACACACCTTGAATGGACTGTTCCAGGCAAAGAGCACTGCCAAAGGTCACAGTTTAAGCAAAACCAGCAGCAGACCGTTGCATGACACTCAAATCTAAAGAGGTGAAGCGCAGTTGCTTTTGCATCTGCCTTGTGCTGTGAAACCAGCCAGAGACAAAGGCACAGCAGCTGCGACACATCCCAGGCTCTCCCCTGCACCAGACCAAACTCAGAGTTCACAGGAAGGTTCTCCTCCACCAGCTGCCTCTACCAGTGCCTCGAGTCCACCAGCTCTGGGCGCAGGCTCAGCTTCTTCAGCGTTTCGTAGCCCACCACGATGACAATGGTGGAAGGAGTGGCCGAAATGATGCGGGCAGAGAGGCCTTTGGTCAGCCCCCAGGGACCTTCCTCTGCAATGAGCTGCTTGAAGGTGAGAATGATGGAGCTCTTGCCTTCCACCTGCAATGCCAGAACAAACATTGACAGAGCTGCCAGACTCCATCCTGAGCCGCACTGGGGCTCTGCTGCGACTGAACACTCTGCAGACAACAGATCAGCCAGTCCAACAGCCTTGATCTGGTCTCCAGAACTCCCTGAGGAGGGCAGCAAAAAAAGCACAAAGTCCTAAGGAGGCAGCAGGAAGCAGCAGCTCTCCCTTTCTGAAGGGAAAGCCTGTCTGAGCAGGCCAGGCTGGCACTGCCAGCCTTGCTCCCTGGCTCCTCTTGCTAATGCTGAGGGCAAATTAAGCAGCTTCTACCTAGGATGAAAGGCCCAGGAGAGCAGGGAAGCAGCTCACCTGAAAGCACAGAGATGAGAGCCCAGGCTGAACCCCACCCTGCACTGTGGCAAGCACGCTGAGCTCTTACCTGGACCCGAGCCCTCACCACATCCATGGGGTTGGTGAGGGTGGAAGCTGTGGCAGCTGCAAGTGGCCCTGATATCGCTTGCAGAAGGAGGTGGGGACAGTCCTTAGGAGTCAAACTCGAAAGCTGTTCTGCGAACAGGAGAGAGAGGAAACTTTCAGTGGATGCTCATCATTTCCTTAACTCCACCCCCTAACTCCAGCTGATTTGCAGTGGGCAGAATCCTGATTTACAGCCTGCCAGCTCCTCCCACAGAGTCTCAAAGCGGTGCTTCCCACACCGACCAGAAGCTGGCACAGCACAGGGAGCAGGACTCACCACACCGGTGGCTCCAGTACACTCCCCATGTCCCACAGCCTTGTCCCACAGCCTCCCATCAGCTGCCACTCTGGCTCCCAGGCCAGTGGGGCAAATTGGACAGAATAAGCTTCCACATCCCCAAAACAGAGCATGAAAATACCCACCCTCTTTAGAAGGTGGAGGAAGCCTTAAGACAAGGCTCCACTGGAAGGTGTCTGCAGAGATCTGTGCAGAAAACTACTGGGCACTGTCAGGAGATACCCTGGTATCCCACTGTGGATCCCTAAGGAGAAAAGCACCACGTAGTGCTCACCCCAGATTTCCTCACTCTGCTCCTGCTGCCTGGCCAATAGGATTTGACTCTCCCACACTTTCACTGGTTAAAGTTGGACAGAGGAATGTTCAAAGCCCTGTGTTTTGGACGATGAGGAAGCCTGTCTGGCACGAGGGAAGGAAGCAGCTCTGTTTGAGACCTTGAACACTGCCTGGAATCAGGGCCAGCAGCGTCCTTTGAACCCGAGGAGGGTTCAGTGAACCCTGCTGCTGCTCCAGGACCAGAGGACTGGGAAATGCAGCCAAAGCAGATTCATTGACAGCTGGGGCTTGCTTCCCATCATCTCAATGTCCACTGAGAAGACGGGGAAAGAGCAAACACCTGGAAGCTGAGAGCTCTGGTCTCTCCATATCAACTGCCTTTTCTTACATGCCCTCCTTTAAGGCCTTTTGGCATGAAAATCTCACAGTTTGTACACCGGGTTTTGGTCTTATAAACTGTTGACATGGAGACTGATGGGAGCACTCCCACAAAGTACAGACCAACATGCCAAGCTGCCACTGCCATTAAATGCAGCACCAATGCTTCCTCTAGCTACCAGAACTCTGGAAAGTACACAGGACCTTTGAGACCTCTGGATTTTGAAGAAAAGGTGCATCTTGACCACCAAGATGTACTTTAGGCCCGGTAGAGCAAAACCAAAATTGCTCATTACCACCACCTTTTAGCAGAAATTAGGTAACTAGACGCCTAAAAACCATGTGCAAAGCTGCATGGCAGAAATCTAAAGGATCATCAGAGGTGGAAGTAAACCTTAGTTGGCCAACACCTTTAGCCTTTTGGAAACACCCTAAGGAGTGTGACAACTGAGCTAGGGAGAAAGAACTTTCTACTGAGTGCAGTTTTCCATCACAAGACTCAGTGCCAATTTTAAAGTTACCAAAACTGAAGCAACACGTGACAGAAATCCAGGGAAGATTTGGCCCTTGTCTCTGCCTGTTGGTTTTGCCATGAGATTTGTGGCTCTAAAAGTCCCTTTGCCATATATGAGATGCCTGAGTTCACATGAACTGAAAGATGAACTGTACTTACATGGTGGCTCCAAAACTCTGCCTTCCTCACTGCCGTGGAGAAGGCACTATTTGGGATTAGTGGAAGAGAAAGTTAAAGCAGATGCTTGAAGCCCCACTTGCCTGGAGCCATCCAGTTTGAAGTCCTATAGCACTTGGACCCCTTGTTCTGTATTGAAACACCGCTGCTCTGTTAAACTTCCACCCAAAATCTGCAGAATTCCCACACAACCAGATGTGGCTGCTTAGTTCAGGACGGATTCTGCTCCCACCCCCAGAGAGAAAGCAAATCACGCTGAATCCACAGTGTCAAGAGTCCATCCGAGGGGCTTCTGGCTCTCCTGGGATAAGAGACATTTCAAGCCTCCTTTCACTTACCAGCATAGAAGTGGTAGAAGGGCCACCAGACCGCACTGTTGGGAATATAAGTGAGCAGCGAGGCCACATAACCCCTGTAGAAGCCTCTAAAACCGTCAGCCTTGAAAATCTGTACAATGATGTCCTTGGTTTGGCCAAAGACCAGCAGACGCTTGCCATCCTGGTTCTGCACCTTGAACCTGCCCATGCTTTCCCCCTTCCTCTGCATCATGAGGTGCTGGGAGATGACATCGATGGGCACCGTGATGCTCTGGGCCACCAGGGAGGCCGAGCCACCGGCCACCAGGGACTTGACGGCGTTGTTGTTGTTGTACCGCGACACGTACTTCCGAGTGAGCTCGTACGTGGTCACGTAGCACTGCCCTGAGATCAGGGTGAAGGTGTTGACCAAGAAGCCACGGTAGAGCCCGGCCGCCCCTTCTGTCCGCAGGATTTTCACAAAGGCATCAAAAGTCCCGTTGTACAGGCTCTTGCCCTTCTGAACCTGCAGCCGCGTGCGGATGAGCGTGAAGGGGTAAACGCTCACCCGGATCATCATAGTCATGCAAATCCCAAACACGTAGAATTTCCTTTTGTCCAGGTGCTCCCACTCGATGATGGGGATGTTCCGTTTGTCCTCCATGGCTCCCTGGGGTCAGGCAGGAGGGGTCCAGATCTCCCTCAAAGGTGCAGAGCAGATCCAGGCCCAGCCTTCCAGCCTTGACTGCAAGTGCTGGCACCTGAAATGAGAGACCCCTTGGGTAGAGGACAAAGCCCCGCTCGCTACAACCGCCCACATCACCTCCAGCTTGGCTGACTCTCCTGGAGCACACAGCAAGCCCCTGCACAGCATCCTGCCGGCCCAGCAGAGGGATGTAACCTCCAGAGGCAGGGCCCTACCGTGTGCCTGATGGTGACACCTTCTCATGTTACTGAGGCTGTTTTCTGAGCTCCAGCAGCAGCTCTCACCACAGCCCAGACTGCTCTGTGGAAAAGCAAAGCTCCCATGCCTTCAGAAGCAGATGAGCACCACTCCAGCAGCACACACACCTTTTAAAGGACACGCAAGATCAGGGATGGCCAACCAAAGCAGCTTCTCCCCAGTCATTCCAAGCCTGTGAGGCTCCCAGGTGTCAGGACGTGACTTTTCAGTTCCAGGATCTGTACAAAGAAGAAAGTGACAAATCCTTTTGTGTTCCTAGATTCCCTGCGTGAATTAGACCCATTTCTTTGGGCATTTCCATTCTTATCTTCCTAAAGCTGGAGGGTGATGAGAAGGTGAAAAGAACAACAATGGGAAAACAAGGCAAGACAGCCATGTAGGGTCTCCACACTGATGACCAAGATGCTGAAAAGAAGGGGTTAAATGACAGCCAGGGATCTCTCTGTTGAGCTGCTTGTCAGCTACACGAGCAAAGTTCACCCTCCCTTCCAACACTCCTGATCTGATAACCTCCCTTCACTGCTGGCTGTGCTCAGGGCACCAGGAATGGGGAAGATGAGGAGGGAGGGGTAGTTCAGCCTCCTCCAGCCCCAGTTGCTGCAGCTCATCACCAGGTCCCAGCAGGCACTAACTGCTTCTCCACAACCAGGCTCCTGGTACTTTCAGCTGCTGTAATTAGTAAATTAACTTTCTGCGTGATTAACCAAGCTTGGGCTAAGGGAACCGACACACAAGGCCAGGCAGCAGGAGAAGCACAGCTCAGAGAATCACCCAAAACAACATGGACCAGTTCACTGCTGGTAAGGACTTACTTTCACATCAAATTAAAAACACCCTGGGGTGTTTGGGTGGCTGAACTTTTGGGAAAGGCTTGACTGCAGCTGGATCACAACTCGTATTCCAGGCACTGGAAGTGTGTGCCAAGGCACGAGCTGAATTGCTGGAGAGCAGAGCTAGAGCAAGAAGCAGGAACAGGAACAAGGGAGACAAAACCTTGATCTGAAAACAGTTTCACCAAGTGAGAACTCCAAGGGATGGGCAGTCACCACCACACACTGATCTGGGGGCACTTCACATTACCAAGCCATAACATCAGTGCCTAAAGGAGCTCCAAGGGAGAGGCCCTTGGGACAAGAGCCTGGAGTGACAGGACAGATGGAATGGCTGCCCACTGACCAAGAGCAGGGTTAGATGGATATTGGGAAGGAATTGTTCCTTGTGAGGGTGGGCAGGCCCTGGCACAGGGTGCCCAGAGCAGCTGTGGCTGCCCCTGGATCCCTGGCAGTGCCCAAGGTCAGGCTGGATGGGGCTTGGAGCAGCCTGGGACAGTGGAGGTGTCCCTGCCATGGCAGGGGTGGGATGAGATGGGCTTTAAGGTCCCTTCCAACCCAAACCAGTCTGGGACTCTGAGGGAAATGTCTCAACACTTCAGAATTCATGAAGATCTCACGCAGGCCAGAGACATTCTGTTAGAAACACAGTAACAAAACAACTGGAAGTTGTTTACCTCTGGCACAGAGAAGAAGTTACAGTTATGAAATGAAGGCAGATCAGGGTGGGTGTCGTATTAAGTGACCATTTTAATGCCAGTTGGCCAACAAAATATTTGCTGAACAGGAGCAAATGGCATTACAGGCTACCACAGCCCCTGCAGATGGACAGGGGAATTAAAAACACCCCCAAAAACCACCTTTTTACCATTGTAAAGAGAGCTACACTTCACCCTGCCAGCCAATTGCCTTGGCAGTTAAGGCACAACAAACAGCCCAGCCTGGCTAAGCAAAGCCTGGATTGCTTTAGTTCATTTACAGCCTTAGTGGGTTTGCTAATATTGACATGATGTGACACACAAAGCTTCCTGCACAGGAATTATCTGTGCATAGCATCTATGAAAACACAGCTTGGTTCTTGCCAAGAGTCCCACTAGCTTAATATTTAATTAAAAAAATTAAAATAGAGTCTAGCCAATATGATTCCCTGGTGAAGCCTGAGGGTTTAGTCCATACTCCAAATTCCTCTGCCAGCCAGGGATGGAATTGAGCTCCCCACAAAGGAAAGGGAAGGGCTGCCTGCAAAAAACATTCTTATTACTGCAATATGGAAAACAAAACAACAACAACAATAATAATTCCTTGATCTTTATTTAGTTTTATGTGCTCTAGTGCTTTGGGTTTAGAATTTCAGCCACAACTTCTTGAGGAAACAGCTATACTTCCTCTGGACTCTCACCAATAACTCCTCTTATTCAGGATCTGAATTGGACAAAGTCACTTTGACCCCACGGCTCTGAGGCACTCCAGGTCCCTCCTGAGTGGAAGGAGGAAGGGATCCTGGCAGCTCCAGGGATGCTGCAGCTCCAGCATGGCTGCAATTCTTACACTGCCAACACAAAGAGTTTTGCTCAGAGCATTTAATCTTCCAGAAATTTAGACCATGGCCTTGCTTAGGGCAGGGATCCCATCACACTCATCAAGCAACTCTGTGATGATCTTTCAAGGAATTTTAGGGAGACTGATATAAAAGTATTCCATCTACATCTCCTAAGAATTGACCTGCCCTCCAAAACAAGGTACAAGCACACCACAGCTCACACATCCTTAAACTTTGGAGCAGCTTCCTGCCAAAAGCACCTCTCAGTGGTTCCTTCCCACCACACACAAAACAGCATTTCTTGAACTTCTGCCTGGAAATCCAAGCAGGGGGGTACTGAGCAGGGCATCCCTGTTCCTGCTGTCTCATCTGGGCACAGCCTCAGTCTCCTACACACAGAACTCGGTGTAAACCCCCCAGTTCATGCCCTTTAATGCCACCCTGTCGGTCTGGTCCCCAAAGCACTCGCTGCTGCAGCTGGAGCTAAAGACGATTCTCTGGCAAACACAGACAGGGCCTTTGTGTGCCCGGGCAGGGATGTGCCCTGCCTGGCATGCTAATGCCTCAGCACCCGCCTGGGAACCATCTGCAGTCAGCCCCAGGCTGCTGGGCACCTCCTCCAGCACAGAATCACACCACAGCCTGGGCTGGACAGGGCCCAGCAGGGGCAGCTCTGGAGTGAATGTGAACGGCCCATCCGGGATGGAACCTTGACCTTGGTGTTACCGGCACCGCGAGCAGCTCACCGAGCCCAGCTAATGCCACACTCAGCTCACCGAGGTGAGCTAACACCACATCCACCTCACCGAGCCCAGCTAACGCCACACTCAGCTCACCGAGCTGGACAGCCACCCCACCGAGCTGGACAGCCATCCCACCGAGCCCAGCTAACGCCACACTCAGCTGACCGAGCTCAGCTAATGCCACATCCACCCCACCGAGCTCAGCTAACCCCACATCCATCCCACCGAGTTCCACATCCATCCCACCGAGTTCCACATCCATCCCACCGAGTTCCATATCCATCCCACCGAGCTCAGCTAACACCACAATCAGCTGACCGAGCTCAGCTAACGCCACATCCATCCCACTGAGCTCAGCTAACCCCACATCCATCCCACTGAGCTCAGCTAACCCCAAATCCATCCCACCGAGCTCAGCTAACCCCACATCCCGCTCACTCTCCCTGAGCTCAGCTAACCCCACATCCATCCCACCGAGCTGCACATCCATCCCACCGAGTTCCACATCCATCCCACCGAGCTCAGCTAACCCCACATCCACCTCACCGAGCTCCACATCCATCCCACCGAGCTGCACATCCATCCCACCGAGCTCCACATCCATCCCACCGAGCTGCACATCCATCCCACCGAGCTGCACATCCATCCCACCGAGCTCAGCTAATGCCACACTCAGCTGACCGAGCTGCACAGCCATCCCTCCGAGTTCCACATCCATCCCACTGAGCTGAGCTAACCCCACATCCATCCCACTGGGCTCACCTAACACCACATCTACCTCATCGAGCTCAGCTAATGCCACATCCACCTCACCAAGGTGAGCTAACACCACATCCAGGCCACCGAGCTCCACATCCACCTCACTGAGCTCAGCTAACGCCACATCCATCCCACCGAGTTCCACATCCATCCCACCGAGCTCAGCTAACCCCACATCCCGCTCACTCTCCCCGAGCTGAGCTAACGCGCACTTCGCTCTTAAAACAGCCGCGGGGGCACCGAACGGCGGCACGGTCCGGCACACCGAACGGCGGCACGGCCCCGGCACACCGAACGGCGGCACGGCCCGGGGCACCGAACGGCAGCACGGCCCGGGGACACCGAACGGCGGCACGGCCCGGTCCGCTCAAGGTCACCGCCGGGCCAGGCGCGTCCCCAGCCCGCCGCTCCGTGTGCCGGGGCTGTCCCCGCTGTCCCCAAACCGGCGGTACCTCCGGGGGGCTCCGGCTCCCCATCCACCCTGGGGAGGGCTCCGGTGTCTGTCCTGAGGAGGGTCCCCGGACCCTTCAGCTGCTTTCCCCGCGGGGTTCGAGCCCTGTCCCGCCTGCCCCGCGCCGAGCGGCTCCGGGCCCGTCCCCTCTGCCCCGGTTCCTCCCGGTCCTTCCTCCCGGTCCTTCCTCCCGGGTCCTTCAAGGGGTCTCACACCAACCCCGTACCCCACCCCTCGCCAGCCGCCCCCTCTCCCCCGCTGCCGTCCTCCCGTCCAGCCGCGCTGCTCCACACCTGCCCGGGCCCCGCTCAGCCGCCGCCGCCGCCCGCACCGGCGCCGGGCCGCCACCGTCGGGCCGTGCCGCACCGCTGCAGACCCCGGCCAGGCCTGTCCCCGGCCCCGGCCCCGGCAGCCCCTCACCTCACGGCGGCGGGAGGGAGCCCCGAGAGGCACCGGCCGGGACGGCCCCGCCGCGCCATGGCCGCTCCCCGCCGGAAGTGACCGGCGGCGTCAGCGCCCGGCCGCCGCCGCCATCTTGGCACCGGGCAGAGGTCGCACCGGAAGTGCCCGCGCGCTTCCGGCCCGCAGTAAAGAGGGCGGCGGGAGGGGCGCCTTAAAGGGACCGCGCCGAATTACGGCTCTTAAAGGGCCAGTGTCCCTCAGCGCTGCGTGCGGGCTCTGCGTGCTGGGGAGGCCGGGGCGATGCCAGAAGGGGAAAACAGCAGGATGCACCCACGGGACGGAGTGGTGGGCGGGTGTGAGAGAGCTGTCCTGCACTCCCGGCACTCTGTGCCCCTTTCTGTGCACACACCCTGCACAGGAACGCGTGTCCCTGCACACCCACGTGTGTCCCTGCACACCCACATTTGTCCCTGCACACCCACCTGTGTCCCTGAACACCCACCCATATCCCTGCACACCCACACGTGTGTCCCTGCACACTCACACGTGTCCCTGCACACTCACACGTGTCCCTGCATGCACACCCGTATCCCTGCACACCCACGTGTGTCCCTGCACACCCACGTGTGTCCGTGCACACTCACACGTGTCCCTGCACACCCACGTGTGTCTCTGCACACCCACGTGTGTCCTTGCACACCCACCCGTATCCCTGCACGCCCACCCGTGTCCCTGCACACCCACGTGTGTCCCTGCACACCCACCCGTATCCCTGCACACACACCCGTGTCCTTGCACACCCACGTGTGCACGCGTGTTCCCCTGGCCCGGGCCTCCCCAGCAATGCAAGGCGTTGATTTTTCCTTTTTTAATAAAAAAGCAGAGCAGGGCACTGTACAGCTGGTTTGGCTTTCCAGGGGCAGACCCAAGGCGTGGGACACGGGGTGGGGGACACAGGGACAAGGGGGCTCTGCCACTTGGGGTCACACAGCAGCACCCAGGGGAGGTGGCAGTGCTGGGGGGTGCCCACGGGCCTGGCTGATGGAGCCCACTGGGCACAGCTTGGCCCTTGGGGAGGTTTTTATGGAACGTGGGTTTGTTCCCTGGGGTAATACCGGTGTCAGTGTCCACCATTTCCAGCCAGCCCCGTCCCACGGGGACATTTCTCCTTTGTGCCGTCCCCATGACCTTCTTTCACCCTCCACTCACTCCCCATCCCATCCTCTTGTCCCACCCACGCCCCCATTCCACCCTCAGCCCCAGGATGTGAGCCTTAGGTTAAAACAGGTGTATTAAATAAAACAAAACCAAAACCCCTTCACATTCACCCCCCTCCCCACACCCCCTCCCCAGGGTCTCCCTGACCCGCTGGCAGCGTCACGCTCTGTCCCCTGCTGGCACATGGAGCCGGTTGTTGTCGACATCGATGTCCCCATCGAGCTGCAGGCAGCAAGCCTGGGATCCTTCATCCTCCTCCTCTTCCTCCGTGGCAGCTCCAGGTGCCGGGGGCTCTCCGGTGCCCCCGTTGAGGGGCACCTTCTCCCGGGGGCGGGCCGGGGGGCTGTGGGGGGTGCTGCAGCCCCTCACCTTGCTGCGAGCCCGGAGCTGGTCCCGGTAGGTGAGGAGGGCCAGGCAGGCGGCCACGGTCAGCGTCACGGCCAGCAGCACCGTCACCGTGACAAACTCCAGCCAGTAGGACCGGGGGGTGCCCCTGTCCATCCCGTCCCCGCCAAAATCCCGCAGCTGGTACTGCGCCACGGTCCAGGTGTAGCCGTTCTCCGTGGCCTGGCACGTGTAGGTGCCGGCCGTGCCCCGCTGCACGATGACCACCAGCGTGTGGTCAGGCTGCAGCACCGTGTGCCCCCGGGCACCGCTGGGCTGCTGCCAGCTGTAGGTGGCCAGCGCAGAGCGGCGGGGGCACGGCAGGGGCACCACGGCGTTCAGCCGGGGGCTGAGCCCTGTGGGGGTGGAGGACAGGGTGATGTGGTGCACTCCGTGCCACCCCGTGTGCCCCATCCCACCCCGTGTACCCCATCCCACCCCGTGTACCCCATCCCACCCCGTGTACCCCATCCCACCCTGTGTACCCCATCCCACTCTGTGCACCCCGTCCCACCCCGTGTGCCCCGTCCCACCCCGTGTGCCCCATCCCACCCCGTGTACCCCATCCCACCCCGTGCACCCCACCCCGCTGTGCTCCCATACTCAACCCTGTACGGCGGGATCCTCCGGTGCCCCCCAGGATCGGGGCATGGCTGCGCTCCTCCCACGCTGGCACAAGGTGCCCGGGCTCCCTGTCTCGATGTCCTGCAGCCACGCACTCCTGCGTGGAGTGGGACAGCAGGGTCAGCATCCCAGTGACCCCCACACCCCTCCCGCTCTCGGCCCGCTGCTCACCTGCTCTCGGTGGCGAGGTGGGCGGGCAGGCAGGAGCCCTCGGGGCTGTGCCAGGCGCAGTAAGGGTCCCGTGCCAGCACGCACTCAGCGCAGCTCCGGTGCAGGCTGCAGTTGGCCAGCGGGACCTGCAGGACGCCTCTGGAGTAGCCCACGTAGAGGATGCCCTGGGGAGGGAGCGGTGCAGGGCTGAGCCTCCCCTGGCCCCGGGGATGGCACTGGGTGGCTGCTGGGTGTCACACCTGCCCTACCTTCCCTGGTGCCAGCAGCAGGTTCTTCACCGGCTCTGGCCTTGCGAAGAGCTGGATGCTCTCCACGATGTGGGCACCCCCAGACAGCTCCACTGCCTTGTGCAGGAGACCATCAGCTGTGGGGCACAGGGGACATGGCTGAGGCTTTGGAGCCGAGGGAGGGTCAGATGGGTGACCCTGTGTGCCCCCCCCATCACCCCACCTGTGGCCAGGAACATGACACGATACGTGGTCCCCGACACGCCGCGGGTCTCGTGCACGGTGATGCGCGTGTAGGTGACATCTGACTTCACCAGGAGAGGCTGTCCCCGCATGGGGGACACCTTCCCGTCCATCAGGAAATGGTCCTTCATGAAGGAGAGGGCTTTGTCCGAGGAGGCACCCATGGAGCACTGTGGGGGGAGAGAGGGGTCTGTGCTGGTGAGGGAAACTGAGGCACGGGAGGGGAGGATGTGCTCATCACCGGGGATAGACAGACCCCATCTCTTGGGGACCAGCGTTGTCCCCTGGAATGTCCAGTCCCCCTGAGCGGGCAGCACTCACACTGCCAGGCCGGGGACTCATGTCAGGGCCACTGTAGACAGTCCAGCGAGAGCTCTCCTTGTTCAGCTCCTTGTACTTGCCCTCGAAGACCTTCTCCAGATCCTCCTGTCTGTAGGCACAGACGGCGGCGCTGCCCGCCCTGCCTGCCTGCCTGCAGGGAGGGACAGCCAGGTGGGCAGTGGCAGGGCACAGGCCCCTGGAGCTCCCCCACACCCCTGGGCACTCACCACTGCGAGGTGAACACTGCGTAGAAGTCGGCGCGGCCGTCGTGGCGGAGCAGGGCGAAGGTGTGGTGGATGACGTTGAAGGGGAAGTGGCCAGTCTGGGAGCACACCAGCTGTGCCTTCAGGAATGTTGTCCACTTCTTCTGCAGCAACTTTTCCCCCCCTACATCGCTCTGTGGGAGCCAGAGGGTGCTCATCACCAAGATGACAAAACCCCTTTGTCCCCTGCCATAAAGGAGGGGACATCCCCGACCATGTTGCTGATCACAGTAAAACTATCATCCCCATTATTGTCTCCCATCATTGTTCCTATGCCATTGTCTCCATCATCATCATCATCCCCACTGTAGCCCACCATCATTCCCTGCTGTCACACCTTGCAGACACGGGCCACCCGTGGCACCAGGAGCTTCTCAAAGAAGTCGAACTCGTCCGCTGTCTCCTCGAAGAAGAAGTAGACCTTGTCGTCCTCAGGTATGCTGAAGGAGGCCACGAAGGCGGCGTCGGCTACAGGCACAGGTGAGTGAGAAGCTGGAGCCGTGGGGGCTGCAGGCCCCTCCCCAGGAATCCTGCCCAGGAGCTTCCCTTGCTCACCCGAGAGCCAGCGGAGGAAGGCGTCGGTCTTGAGCAGCGTGCGGGTGCCCAGCGAGCGGGAGATGATGGGCTCGTTGCCCTGGAAGTTGTTCATGGTGCCAGCGTAGAGCTCCCCATCTGCCCAGGGACACGGCGGGGGCTGAGCCGCGGTGAGGACCCCCCACCCTCGCCCTCCACGCCATCCCAGAGATGGGAGCCCACCTGCGAGGCCGCTGGCACCATACTCACCCACCAGCAGGGCCGTGTAAGTGTGCTTGGGATCGAAGGGGCACTGGCCCTTCCCGTCCAGGAAGGGCTGTCCTCTGCCACTGGGCACCAGTGTGAAGTTTTCCAGGTGCTGTAGAAAAGGGGAGAAAAATCAGCCAAAGGACTGAAAGCAATGCCAAATCTGTAGGGAATGACTGTGGAATACCTTGCAGACATAGGGTGGCCCATGTCTTCAAGGTGAGTGCAGGGATGATGACAGAGGATGCTGGGGGTACCCAGCTCCTGTCACCTTCCCTCATTTTCATTCTGGGGAGTGGCAGTCCCCACCACGTGCTCATCATGGAGGAAACTGAGGCAGGGACAGAGAGCCTGGAGCCACCTGAGGGGACCCAAACCCGGGGTTTCCCTGCCAGAGGAAGAGTTGCTGGCAGCTGAGTGAGAATCACCAAGGGCTCCTTTAGCAGATGGGACACAAAGATGTCCCTTGGGGGGGACACCCAGCACCCACATCCTGGGGACCCCCATGATGCAACTCACTTCTGGGCCCGTATTTTGTGGGTCCTCACAGCAACACCACAGCCTGCCCAGAGACCCCAGGGGCCTGCCTGGGGAGGACACTCACAATGTAGGTGCACGCGGGGCTGAAGGCGTAGGTCCCACAGACGTAGAGGTGGGTCTGGTTCAGGGCCACCAGGACTCGGATGAAGTTGAAGCACTCAGTCTGAGGAGAAAAGAGCAGAACTGGGTGATGAGCACCCCAGTAGCTTTGTGGGATCCCTGAGCCCCCCACAGGGCCATCTCACCTCTTGGCTCTTCTTCTTAAAAGCACATTCAGAGGTTTTCTCATCTGTGGCTCCCCACATTATCTGCAAAGGGAATGAAGATGTCCCTGGGCTGTTGAGCCCAGCCCCACAGGGAAACTGAAACACAGCAGGGGCACCTCCCTCTCCCGCCTCCCCAAAAGTGGTGGCTGCTCACCGAGGCTTTGGCACGGATGCTGCCGGGGGTGCCAACAGCGAGGGCCAGCAGCCAGTCGCGTGCCCCCACGTACAGCTCCTCCTCGCTCTCGTCCAGGAGGAAGATGTCGTAATGGGAGATGTTGTCCTGGCTGAAGTGGGTGAGGGTCCGCCGGGGGTCCCCTGGCAGGAGCAGAGGGGTGAGGGAGGCCGGGGGTCACACGCACACCCCAGCACCGTCACTGGAGTGCGGATGTGGCAGCAGCTGCCACTGAGGCTCATCCCACACAGGAAATGGGGTGCAGCTCTTCCCCTTCAGCGCCCACACCACCATCACCCCTTCACCCTCCAGGTTCCCACCTCCCACTGACCCATGCAGCTCCTACTGCAAGAGCTGAGCATCCCCAAGCTGCAGACCACCAGAAATGGGGGGCATTTCCCCCCAGAGCTGTGCCTGTGATGCTTTGGTGCCGTGGCCAAGGGCAGTGCTCTGTTTGGGGGATGCACTGTCCCAGGGTGCCACCTCGGAGGGATTACAAGCCCCGAGGTGCCAGGCTGGGGGACATCACCAGCCCCCAGGGTGCCCTCAGGCACAGCCAGGGACTGCAGGTTCTCATTCATCCCCAGCAGACACCAAAACCAGAGGGTTTTTGCAATTTTGGGCACGGCTGCATGGGGAAAAGGAAGTGACAGTGCAGTAAGGGCTGGAAAGGCTTGACCCTGCCGTGGCACACAGACCCTCTTGCAGCCCAAATTGCCACATCACAGCCCCTCCAATCTCCTGCTTTGCCTTCCAGCTGGACGTGCCGTGCCCTGTCCCTTCCAGAGGCAGCTTTTTGTCCCCCCAGGATGACCCTGAGCAGACCCTGGGTGCCAGCAGGGTGACAAAATCCCTGTAGGATCTGTCCCGTTGGGTGTTGGGGTGCCAAGCAGCCTCATCTACTCTCATCCCCCATCACATCCCCCCACGGGAGGGTCAGTGATGGGGCGGGGTGGGGATATGATGGGGGGCACGCCAAGGTTCCTGATGCTGGATGCTCAGCCCTGGGGATGAACACAGAGGCTGTGTACCCCCTCCCCAGCTGTCCCAGCCCTTCCCGGGGCCCTACTCACCGCTGGGGAAGGCGAGGCGGGGCAGGGGCTCTGCGCAGAGCAGGGCAGCGGGCACCACCACCCCGCAGAGCAGCCGAAGGGCGGTGGGCATGGCGGGGGGCGGCAGGGATGCGCCCCACGAGGGTCCCACCAGCATCCCTGCGGAGAGGCCGCGGCTGAGGGCACACGCTGCCGGGCTGCGTGTCACTGCACCCGGCGGAAACCAGACGGGGAAGCAGCACCCGGCAAGGGGGCGGGGGACGGGGGGGGCCCTCAGCACCTCGAGCCCCACATGACCCCCCCAGTTTGGGCACGAACTTCCCACTGCTACATCGGCACCCAGAGATGTCCCCTCGCCCTGGGGGGCACAGGCAGAGGTTTCCCCTCACCCAGAGGTCCCCGGCACAGCGTGCAGAGGCTTTGCCCCAAGAGCCTCAGAGCCCATCCCCATCAGGGATTATTCCTCTGTCCTCTCCATCAGTTATCAGAGCGTCCCCAAAATGGGGGGGACACACACAGGAAGCCCCTTCTTGCGGCTCTTCCCGCAGCTGATGCCAGAAGCACTGGGGGAAGAGCCCCCTGCAGAACCTGACGGTCCCCAGGACCCCTTTGCTGATGGCCACCGCGTCCCCAGCGGGCGGCTTTACCTCTCCGGTGGGTGAGGACAGAGCCGCTCAGCTCCCCCGCTGCAGCACGGGCACCGGGCAGATGCCCGAGCCCCGGGGGCTGTGGCCACGCGTGTCCCGTGGGTCCATGCCCGGGTCCGGCGGCAGCGGGGCCGCGCTGCCAGGCTCCCAGCCCGGCCCAGCCCAGCCCAGCCCAGCCCAGCCCAGCCCAGCCCTGCACTACGGGAACCTGAAAGTCCTGCTGCAGGAGGACGAGCCCCGGCAGGTTGGGGCAGTGGGTGCCTGCGCCCGCCTCCCGTGCCTCGCACCCCGCGGGGAACGCAGCGAAGCCTGGCGGAGGCAGCTGGGATGGGAACCGGGGAGCTCTGCTCCTCCAAGGGGTGAAGTGGGGGAGAAGGATGTGCCCAGATGCTTGGCTTTGCTGGCTGGGGAAATCTTTGGGGTGAGGAACACAATGGCATTTTTCCTGTGGATTCTATGGGCCAACAGCAGGCCTGAGCATCATCCCCAAAACCAGCCCCAGGGGGACAGGCATCGCCCCAAAAACCAGCCCCCCAGGGCAGAGCATGGCTCCCCACAAACAGCCCATGGGGCACCCCCACAAAGCCCCTGCAACTGTTCCAGGAACCCATTTACCTGGAGATTCCATCCTTAACCCCATGCTGCTCTGGGATGGCTGTAGGCAAAAAACCCCCCAAAGCCAAAGCCCTGGAGCTCCTCAACATGAGAGCCATACCTGAGGTACCCCAATATCCCTCTGGACGAGGCTGAGGAGCATCTCACCCTGCTGGGGCCTCCTTACCTGCCTCTCCCATCCCCAGAGCAGCCCAGCGGGACATGGAGCCCCGGGAGGGCAGCGCTGTGCTCAGCACCTTGCTTGGCTGGGACAGAAGCTCCTTGTGAGCACAGAAAGTAGGTTACTCTGCCCCGGATTTCCCACTTGGCAAAGGGCTGCCTGGGGGACGGGGCTGCACGGAGCCTTGGACCAGGCATTGTTCTGCCCTGGGCCACAGCCACCGAGGCCGCGGAGGGGGAAGGCGGGATGGAAACGGGAGCAGAGGCTCCTCAGCGAGGCTGAAGGCTGTGGTGGGGCTGAGGAAAACCGCCAGCGTTCCCCGGTGTGAGCCAGGGCTGACACAGGATGTGAGGTGACAGCAGCCTCGCGCTGCTCTGACAGCGTGGGAAGCCAGAATCCCTTCTCAGCCTGGTCTCTCCTCTTTTTTGGGTCCCCTGGTCACAGTGCTCTGGGGACATGGTGGGGGAGAATGTAATTTACAGCCTCCCTATATAAGATTTGGAACATGGGAGGGAGTCCCACCGAGGGTCTCTCAACACTGGGGTGGGTCAGTTTTCCCTGGTGCTTTCGGGTTGACCACAGCTGTGGCTTCATGGGTGTTGCTCCTGCTTGGGTCTCCTCCTGGAGGATTCCCTCTAAGCCAGGGAATATTGTGCTGTCAATGAACACACACATTCCCTGCAAAGAGTGCATCACCTGCCACAGGATGGAGCCAGGCCCAGCCCTTGCAAGGTGAGCAGGGCAGGTGTGGAGCTGGTGGCACTGACCTGCCAGCTGCTCAGACATTTCCCGTGCCTCAGTTTCCCACAGCAGAGAACAGTTTGGTCCTTCTCTGCAGCTGGACTCCAGTCCCCTGCCCTGTCCCATCCAGGAGCAGCCCTGTGGTGTGGGGGGTGCAGGAATACTCCCAACACCCGAGGGGGGCTGGGGGATGCCCCGAGATCCAGAGCAGGGCGTGTGTGTGTGAGATGGAAGGCAAGAGAGGAGGGGGTGTGCACTAAGGGCATGGGAGGATGAAGGGGAGGAATTTGGGGGGTGTACGCAAGAGGAAATGGGAGACGATTGTGTCGATGGGGTTGTTCGATACAAAGGGTGGGGAGAGCTGGGGGGGTGCAGGTAAGAGAGAGGAGGATGCACAGGAGGGAGCTGAGGGGTGCAGGAGGTGTGGAGGGGTGCCCAGGAGATAGGGGATGGGGCGGTGGGGAGGAATGTGAAGGCAGGGAGGGAGTGTGGGCAGTACCGAGGGGTCCCGGGGGTCTCCCCAGGGCCGGCACCTCAGCCTCTTTGTTGCTGGCTGGCAGCATCAGCGCTGGGGGTCCCCCAAGCCCAACCCCACTATGGCGACTTCCCCCTTCCCGCTCGACCTGCCGCCCCCTCGGAGCCTCCCCAGACCCCCTCGGGCCCCCCGGGCGCCCCCGGCCCCGGTCGCGGTGCGGCGGTACCGACCTGCGGCGGGCGGGCGGGAGCAGCATCCCCCGGCCCCGCATCCGGCTCACGTCGCCATGGCTACGGCTGCATCTCGGCCCCCCCGCCCCGACAGACCCTGAGGGACGGACACGGGGCTGCGCACCCCGAGACCCCCGCACCGGGACACGGACACGGCCCCGCACACACCCCTCACCCCGCACACCACCGACCCCCACCCCAGGGAGGAGCAGGGACACCCCTCTGCCCCACGTGTGGTACATCCAACCCCTCTCCAGACACGTTCCTGTGCCCCATAACTACATTGGGGCCCTTCACCTTCACCCCAGTTGTGCTCTCGGTTTTTGGCAACACCTCCAGATCCAGACCCTATCCTTGCATCCTATCCCCGCACCCCACCCCTGCATCCCCATTCCTGTCTCAGCCCTCCCACCTGACCCATCCCAGAGGAGTGCTCCTGGCTCTGGCTTCCCATGCTATGTGGATTTGGGGGGTCTCAGGAGGAGGCTTGGGGGGCAGCCGTGGTAGCATGTGTGTCCCTCTCCCCAACGCAGCATTCAGAATTTTGGTTTCTGGCATTTCCCCCTTGGAGTTTCCCTTGGCAGAAAGTCTGGCCTAGCTGGTAACTGCAGACCTCACTTCTCCTGTGGAACTTGCTCCCTTCCTCTTCCCAGCTGTGTGAGAACCCCATGAGCCCCAAAACAGGATCTCCGGCCGCTACTTCCTCCCCTCTCTGCAACCACCTTCCCTGCATGACCTCAGCCTTCTGGAGAGGTGCCAGCACTGCACCAGCACCCCCAAAAGCACTCCCTTTGCTGGGGTTCTGGCTCTGCCAGGGCTGGAGAGCACAGCCAAGTGCCCCTGCAGCTCCCAGGGCTTGGGAGGGATCTGTAAGGAGCTTGTGCCTCGTGCCCAGCAGCACTGGAAGTGGAGCCCGCTGCAGAGACTCCTCAGGGCTGAGCTGCAGCCCCTCAGCCCTGCCTGGACACCCCCAGGGTGGGGGTCCTACAGTCTGCAGCATGTTGGGGTGCAGCTTTGGGGGTAGCAGTGGGCACGAGCTCACGTCTCAACCCCCCCTGGGATTAGTGGGGTGGCTTGACCTTAATCTCCCTGGGCACGCAGGGGCCTGGAGGGGCTGGCGTGGGGCTGCCAGGGCCCCAGCACCCACTGGGCCATGCCCTGCCTGGTAAACCCGCTGGCTTGCCAGACACTGGAGTCAGTCCCAGCTCTACCCCGTCCCAGTGATTGCTCCAAGGCTTCCTGTGCTAGATTTTCCCCCATAAAGCTGGTGGTGCTCAACACGTCCCCAAACCCCAGTGCTCCAGCCTACCCAGGGTGTCACTGAAGAGACCCCAACATTCAGTGCACAAGTGAGCAAGGCCAGGCCATGGCCCCTGCCACACTCTGGGGGACCCAAAGCAGGGCTCAGATCGGTGGGACAACAGGAGGAACAGGACAAACCTGACCTTGAGTCAGTGCTTTGGCTGGAGTAGGACTGGAGCTCTTTCACAGGCTCTTTTCGAAGTCCCCATAGGGGTGTGTGAGGCCCCTGTGGGCCGTGGCTCCCCCTGGGCTGTGCAAGGTCCCCATGGGGCTGCACATGGCTCCACAGGTTCCTAATGGGGCTGTGCAAGGTCCCCATGGGTGCACATGGCTCCACAGAGATGTGAAAAGTCCCTATGGGGCTGTGCAAGGTCCCCATGGGTGCACATGGCTCCACAGGGATGTGAAAGGTCCCTATGGGGCTCTGCAATGTCCCTGGGGGCTGTGCAGGGACCCCACGGGGCTCTGTGAGGAACCCACCATGTCTGTGCTGTCCTCACAGGGCTCTGCAATGTCCCTGGGGGCTGTGCAGGGACCCCACGGGACTCTGTGAGGAACCCATCGTGTCTGTGCTGTCCTCACAGGGCTCTGCAATGTCCCTGGGGGCTGTGCAGGGACCCCACGGGGCTCCAGCTCAGCTTTTCCCCGTGTGACCCAGCTGTGGGGTGCCAGGATGCTGGGGCCTCGTGGGGCACATGGGGAGGATCCAGGGTGTTGGTTCCCTGTTGCATTTCCCCATGGCAGTTCCTGTGTCTCCTGGCCCTTCTCCTCCCAGGAACACGTCCAGCAGCAGCACAAGATACCAGCAGCATGGCTGGCTTCCCCTCATCACTCCAGAACCCGCTATTTCGGGCACAACCTCATGACTTTTGGGGGCTGGCGGTGCCAGGCCTGCAGTAGGGTTGGATGCCCATGGAAGGGGACAGGCTGCAGCATTGTGGGGGTCGCTGCCCCAGCGTTGCAGCATGGGGATCCCTGAGCTGGCAGAATTGGGAGGCAAATGGCACAGAGAAGGGGTCAGGGTGTCCCCCCTCATGCTGTGGGCACCCACCTCTGACACCTCCCTGGGAGGGGAGATGGCACCTTGCTGCTTCTCCACAGCCTCACTTGAAGCTGGGAGGTGGCAGCAATGCCCTGGACCCCCTGTCACCCCCTGCCCCCCGAGCCTCAGCCCTGCTACACCCAAACCTGGGGTGATGCAGCCCCACACAGCACGGGGGGCCCAGGCATCCAAGCTCTGGGGCAGGGGTACCCCCAGCCTGGGCATCCCGGGCACCTACCTGGCAGTGCCTGCGCCCCGGCCGCCCCGTGCCGCGTCCCCTCACATCGCGGCTCCGCAGCGCTGTGCCTGGTAAAGCCGATTATGCATCGGCTTTACAGCTCTCCTCCCCAGGATCCCCTCCTGCCTGGCTGCAGTGCCTGGCACGGCCCGGGGGCACAGGGGTCCCCTCGGCAGAGTGTGCGGGTCATCCCTGTGGTAGGAGCAAACCTTCACTCCTGTTCTGCACCCCCAGCCCATCCCATCCTGGGGACTGGCTGGTCCCCCAAGCCCCAAGAGGAATTTCTGAGTCCTCACCTCAAACTCCACGCCCTGTCCAGTCCCTCTCCTTGCCCAGCTGGCCCAGTTCTTAGTAACCCACCCGTGGGTGAGCCAGGGTGTAGGGGGCCACCCTGCTTCCCCCATCCACAGTGGGTGTGAGCCCCAGCCCTGCCTGTGGGGTGGAAAGAGATCCCTGGGGGTCCCTTTGCTGTTGGGGGGCAGCACAGCACCCCCAAATTCCCCTGGACAGCAATGATGACAGCACACAGCATGGGAAGGGTTCAGCTGTATTTTGACTCTGGAAGAAAATACAGGCAGTAATACAGAAGCTTTGCAAGCATAGATACATACACGATCTCCCCAAAACCCACTGCAGTGGGGGGCTTGTCCTGGCACCTTCTCCAGCCCCACCCCTCTGCTGCACTTGAGGTCAGGGGGGCAGCAGGCGTTTCCCAATCAAGGCAAAAAGGCAAGAGACCTGCCAAGGGCTGGATGGACTCTTGCCAAGAGGGAAGCTGCATCTCTCAGACCCCAAAATCCACCTCACTCGAACAAAAAGCCTTCCTAGGTACTTTCCTGACAGACCAACTCTGACCTGGACTGAGCATCTTTCTCTTAATCCCTGAAACAGCTGCTGAGCTCTGGCCACCAGAGACGAGCCCCAATAACCACAGCTGAGGAAAGGCAGGGGGAGCCCCTCTGGATGCAGTGGCTCTTAAAGACGGGGCCTGGGGGGCCCCACTAGGGCTGAGCTTGTGGGACCAAGGTCCGTCACCCTGGCTGTCAAATCCATCTGGTCCCAAAATGCAGCTCTGGTATTTTCACCTCCCCTACTCCATCTCCACTCAGCTGAGCTCCAGCCCGGCCCCACCTCAGCTAAGGCACAACTCGGTTGATGAGGAAAAAGGGCAAGAGGTGCCTGGGATGGGGAACTTGGGGAATACAGTACACAGAGCACGGGAGTGCAGCGGGCAGGGGGCTGGGGAGGGGGCAATGGCCACAGAGAGAGGTGGGCATCGCCCGCGAGCTGCCAGGAGCCCCCGCACCAGCACCACCAGGAATCACTATCAAAAAAACACGGAAAAAGGGGAATTTTGGCTTCAGATCCCAAGAAAAAGGGTTGTAAAGGCACTGTGCTCCATTTGAGACAGGACAGCAGCCCCTGTGGCACGCAGTTCCAGTGGGTATGGCTGCGCTGCTCCCTGTCCTATGTAAAAAGCTTTGGCAAAAAAGGTACAATCTAAGGAGCATAAGGAGCGTTTCAACTACAAACTCCTTCTGCATGGCTGCTCTGTAAACACAGTTCTTTGCTGTCTTTGGCTGAAGTTCTAAAAAATATTTGAAGCTGAAAAGCTATTTTTTGGTTTGGTTTTTTTTATATAGAAATAGATTTTTTTCTTTACAAAAAAAAATCAAAGCATCTTTTAGCACTTTTAATATATATATATATATAAAATTCCTGCTATAGAAAACAAAAAAAAAAACAACCTTGGTTTTTGATATCTTCTTTTTAACGGGAAAAAATTCTGTTGCTTTGGGAAAAAAAAACAAACCTAGCTGGAGACGGGCAGGAACCACAGGAATGCGCCATGGAATTACATGATGCTGCAGTTCTGCACAGCCTGAGCCTGGGAGAGAGAAAGAAAAAGAAGAGAGTTAAGAAGACCCCAGTGTCATCATCCATTTGCTCTGACTGCAAAGTGTCCAGCGGGATCCTTTGGATGCCCACAGTGCCCACAGGTTCTCCTCCATCCTGGCCCTTGGGGTGTGATAAATAAATCCTCCCAAGCTGTGGTGTTCATAGTTCCAGAATTTGAGAATTATTGGTAGGTGATTT